CAGGAATGCCTGTAAAACCACACGCTCGCCTGCTGTCGCCGTGTGCTCAGGTGGCTCACAGAGCAGGCCTGCTTTCAAGTGTCCACCCTGACAACGGGATGCGGCAGGCTCCGGGGGCTCCCGTTTTTGGAGAGTTTTTAAAGGGGTGGGGTCCCATTCAGTCCTGTTCACAGCACTGTCCCTCGCATGAGACCGCCGGGTTTCCACGCCTTCGGTCAAGCTGTGGGCTAAAGGCTTTTGAGTGGCAGGTCAGAAACTTATATTTTCTTAAGAAAATTTTTTTGCACATAGAAAATCTACTTGCATACTTCTTTAAAACTTGATGGAGATAGTTGAAATCTGTTTTAAGTTATTAGTGTAAAATGTATCAATACTTTGATTATGAATTCTATTTTAATGGAACCTCCTTCCCCATGAACTCTTATTCAGCTTACAATTTATAATAATCTAAGGAGGAGATTTTTAGAAAGTAGAAGACATTTTTGCCTTATTCTCAAATCAGGATCATATTTCAGATTAATAATTTAAACTGATTGCCTTCTCTGTGACTGCCCCTGAGGAAAGTTGTGAACCAGGTAAAATTTGTCTTGAGTCCCATTTTCTCAGCTTTATTCTCCTGTTTCTGGTCAGAGTTCATTGTCGGGGGAGGAGGTGGTGTAGCTCGTCCTCCACGGTCACTGAGCTGCTGTGCGCACCTCCGCTGTGGACGTGCTGCTGGTCCAGCGGAAAGAGCGCTGCACCAGGAGTCTCGGTGGGACCCAGGCCTGGCTGTCCCTCGTCGTGAGCCTTACCAGTCTCATGAAATGAGCCACATGGCACTCAAGGAGCTGGCACACAGCTGGCATGCTCAGTTCAGCAGGCCCAGTGGTTGAAACACTGAAATCCTTTCCTAGCTGTCGGCATATGGCTGCTGCTCCATGTCCCATTAACACAACAGGAGCATTTTGCTAATTATCATCTTAACCTCGGTTTTCATTAAAGCTAGTGGTTATGCTTTTGTGGAATGACACATCCCTCGTGCAGAGAGTCAAACTGAAGTTTGTTATCCTCCTTCCTGGGGAAATGTCACAATCGTGCCTTCCAGAAATCCACTAAGAGCTGGACGTTGTCGAAAGGGATTTCCTGGGGTTTTGTTTCTCCCGACGTATTTTCCCAGACCCATCCTGTTGAGAACGCACATGCACGGAACCCGAACGCCAGGCTTTACGTCCACGCCAGGCCCCCATCTCCTTCCACAGCTAGTGGAGCTGAACCAGTGAAGGTGCCTCGCTGGAGCAGCATCACCCCCGCTTTCCACTCAAGCCAGGGAGGGGGCCGCAAGCACAAGTGCAGTCCGTCCGACTCTCCTTTTCGTCTTGTACATCGTGCGATAAGTCACAGTGTGCTGGGATCATTGCGTGGGACTGACAGCGTCGATGGGAACACAAAGCTAACGAACGTAGAAAATTGTCCCCCAAACTCAGCTGGAAATGTATTTAACCACGCAGGTGGTCTTATTTTAAGTAGAGAGCAACGTAGACCAGAGTTACGTGAGTGTGGGGTCACCAGACACCATAGGCGCACAGCAGTGTCAGGGACCGTTGCCATGTCTTTTTCTAATAACTCATAAGGCGTGATGTGACTGTCACTCACAAAGAGAGCTTAAAGTGAAAGTGGCCTCTGCTGGCAGCTGAACAGTTTATTCTAAGTGCTCAGTAACAGGCGTTCAGAGAAATCATGCCTTAAATAGTGCAAACGGTGTGCTTGCGTCTTGTGTCAGCTGGTGGGGCTCAGCAGCCAGTTGGTCGGGTTCCTCAAGATGGTTTTCTCAGCAAGTCAGAAGGCTGTGTTGTACCCCAGGGAGTGCCCTCCGCGCCAGGCACAGTTCTGGGTCCTCACTCGGCATTGCTTCCCAGTCTGTCTCCAGAGCTGTGTCTAGCGTTTCGGCAGAAAGCTCTCCTTGGTGTGAGTTGCACTCGGATTCTGATGTGGGGTTTCTCCAGCCCTGTGATAGACCACCTCACACTGGTTGATGACATTTTCTGCTGCTTTTGATGGTTTATTGTTTTAATATTTTAACTTTATTTTAATGGCTTGAACTTTTATTTTAACGTTCAAGTACTTCCATCACACAGAGTATAGTAGCACCCACGCAGCCACCATCCACAGATGTAACGGATGTGAACACTTTGTCTTGTTTTTTTCAAAGTTATATTCAAAAAAAGAAAATAGTTCAGGCAGTTCAGGTGAAACACCCTTCCCCATACCATTCCCCATCTCTTCTCCCAGACATATCCGAACAGCCTGACATTGAATTGCATCCTCTCTTCCTTGGTTTTACATGTTTATTTCATTTGTATCCATAAATAATAGATGTTGTGTATATGAAATTTTACACAAAAGTTCTTTTTATTTTTTGAAATTTTTTCATTTAGCCTGCTTTTGAGGTTTACTCATACAGATACACATCCATTTAGTGCATTCATTGTAACTGCTGTGTAATATTTTATTGTAGGATTATACCAAAACTATTTATCCATTCTCCTGTTGTTGGATGTATAGGTGGTTTCCAATTTTTTGTGACTGCAACTGATGCTGAAGTGAACATCCTAATAGCTATCTGCTTTTGCAAATGTGCAGTTTGTTCAGCGTATGTACCTGGAAGTGGAATGGCTGGGCTGTGTGCTGTCTGCATTTTCAACTTGAACTAGGTCTTGCCGAGTTACTTTCCACACTGGTCGCACCAGTTTTCACTCCCACCAGCAGTGTGTGAGTTCCCCATTTTTCCCACATCCTTGCCAACCCTCGTGCTGTCAGAGACTCGCTTTGGCCAATTGGATGGGTACGGAGTGGCATTTTTGTTTTCATTTGCAATTTCTGATTTCAAGTGTTACTGAGCCTGTTTTTATATGTTTGTTGGCTGTTGGCAATTTGCCTGTTCATGCTTTTGTCCATTGTTCTACTGAATTATTTTTCCTGTTGCTCTCCAAGTATTCTTTATACATTCTGGATATTAATCTTTAGCTGGCTATATGCACTGCAGATATTTTCTTCTAGTCTGTGGCTTATTTTTAAGTGTCATTTGTGGTATCTTTTTGTCTTGCAAGTTTCTACAATATTTTAAAGTACCCATGTTTATCAATTATTTTTCTTTATGTCTCCTGCTTTCTAAAACATTTCTTCCTCTCACAGCAATTAATGAAGATTTTTCTGTGTTTTCTTCTGAAAGTTAAAAAATTTCATATTTCTGACTTCAATCAAACTGAAAGTTACCGTTACGTTACTATGAAAAATGAGGTTCTCATCTATTCTTCTCATATGAATAAGCAATTCTCCTGTATTTCCCCCATTGACTTATAAAGCTACCTCTGCTTTATATAAGTGGGTGGTCTGGGGTCCTCTGTTCTCTCCCACTGTTCTTTTGCCTGTTCTGCACCTCACCAACATCACATTGTCTTAATCACTGTAGCCCTAGAACAACTCCCGATGCCTACGATCGGCCTCACCAGCCCCCACCCACTTTCCTCTTCTTCCTTTTCTGTTTGACCCTTTAGTTTTACATACGATATTCAGGATCAGCTTGTCACATGCCACATGGGGCTTTTGATTGGATTTGAATTTATGGATTTATCTGAGGGGAGTTGACATCTTCGCGATATTAGGTCTTTCCAGATAGAACATGGTATGCTATTAACAAGGAATATTTAGATATTCTTTTATTTCCTTTAAGAAGGTCTTATTATTTCCTTCAAGGATATATTCCATATTGTTTGTTAGGTTTTTGTTCCTAGGTACCTTCAGGCTTTTGTTGCTGTGGCGATGGGATCTTTTCTGAAACGCATTTGTGTAAACTAGGCATTGTGGGTCTTCCTGAGCTTTGCCGTCTTCTGTCCAGCACCCTCGCTTCACTCCTTTCAATGCTCAAAACTTCCCTTGAACTTGTCATGTAAATTCTAGTGACAGTTTTGTTTCTTATGAATTGTTTTCTCTCTTAACTTTCACAAAGGTTTTCAATGTTCTTCTTTTTCATATGTATTTCTTTAATGTTAAATTATAAGTTGAATTCAAAACTTTTCCAAGCTATTTACATCTAAATTAGAATGAAATTAAGCAGAAAACTGTGAGAAACTCAGTTGAATTCCACTTTAAAGTTATAATATATAAAAAATTTTCTTATTTTGGAGGTTATACTTTAACAAAAACAAACAGAGTCCATTTATTTTTTCCTCTTAACATTTTAGAATATTCCATACCTTTATACAAAGGTAGCTTTTTCCTCTTGTTTGCTTGCTTTTAGCATCCTAATAGGAAGTCATTCTTCAAGTCTTTTTTTTACCCTTTGCTAATCAAAATATCTCTTTTTTCCCCACAGTAACATCCAGTAAAATCAGTTTTCTTTTATTCAAAGAACTATTACATTATTTCCCCATTTTTACTATTCCCCATTTTTATGGGGAATTATTCTTACAATAATTCCCCATAAAAATAAACATATGCTTGTAGCTAAATTTGTGTGTAAATTCTGGATCCCAATAATAATGATCTAGCTTTTTTCTTTGGAAATTAATCACAGATTCCCACGAGTTGACCGATCTATCATTCTCCGCAGAGGCACACGCAAACATCCCCAGGGTTGTGTTCTGTGTGTGTGATGTACGTTCTGTATTTGGAAGTCAAGGGGTTAAGAGAATCTTCTAAATATTTTGATTATACATCTTGCTAAAAAACTCTTGCAGATGCTTTTTAGAATTAATGTGGCATTTTCAGATGAACTTGAAAATTAATATCCTCATCATTATGTAGGCTACATGCTGTATGACATTTTTATGTTCTGTGGATTCTCTCCAGATTTTTAATTTTTATACTTCCAGACTGAAATAATTTTTAATAATTGAATAGTTTGCTTGTATTTGCTTGTATTTGTTTTTTTTTTGGCTTTATTTACCTTGATTGATTTCTAGAATGTTTGAAACGGTTTGAGTTTTTCATAATACTTATTTCTTTCTTGCCCCCGGATCCAGACCGCAGACAGCACTCCACTCCCAGCGCACACACCCACCCTAAAGAAAAAGGCCTGCCCCGGCTCAGCCGGCGCCCCGCCCAAGGTACTCGCTCAGCCCGGTCACGGTCACAGGGCGCGGTGTGTTCCGCCGCAAAACTCAGGATGAACTTCTTCTGCCTCCTGTATTTCCTGTAATATTGCTTACTGCTGGTTTCCTTAAAATCACAAACCTGAAGCTTGGAAAGGAAATAAATTCTGTATGAAAGGCAGTATTCACTACAGAGAAAGGTGGGGAGAGTGGCCAGAGTTTGTTTTGTTTTGTTTTTCTTCCGTCTTCTTAAATTTAGTGTTTTGAAGTCTGTTCCAGTAAGGAGTAGTGCTTTGGGGATGTATTACATTAGGGTAGTAAGTTGAGGCCGCTTGTAGAAGAATCTAAGATTGAGGCTAATAAACCACCAAAAAAGGGAGAAATATTTAGTGAAAAATTGAGGCGAATTTTCTTTTTTTCCTTCTATTCAATGTGACTATGACTGAAATGTTGTATATGGTACAACATGAACATTTGGTTGCTTATGTCAAGCTCCTACAAAGAAATTCTAGAAATTGGAAAACTGAAGTGACCTTCCTATCCAGAACACAAACCTTGAATAAAGCACAATCCGGGGGCGGGGGGGGGGGGGGGGTTGGGGGGGAGGCTGATGGCTCTGAGAAACCAGTAAAATGCACGAAAGTGTAACCAGTTACAAAAGACAGCAGCACACTGGGTAACTTGTGTTAGGTAGAGCAAAGTCTGAGGTTAGCGAGAATGTGAGTTTAAAATAAGCCTAACAAATGCCCACAAAGGGATACGAACGGGAACTATATTGGTAACATGAGGCAGGAGAACTTACGAAGAAAAATAATTTATGAGTGCTTGGTGTGAAAATATGACACGTGAAATAAAGAACTCAGTAGAAGGCTTTCAGAGCAGAATGAGCAAGCTGGGTCCAGCAGGGAAACGGGTTAAGGAGACAGGAAGTATGAAGGCTAAACTCTGTGGCAGAGATAGCGTCAATATCTACATGGTAGCTCTGGGTGCAGAAACCTGTTAAATTTCTTTGTTTCTGTAGGTATAAATATGTAAGGTTTCACTTAACTCTGCTAAAGAATAGTTCGAAGACATGATAAAAAAATTCTAAAAAGTTTTAAGCCCAAAAGTGCTGGTTTATTTTGTAACTTTTCAAGTGTCAATTCAAGAGCAATTGATTACTTCTTATGTTAGTATAATCCAGCTCAATATTGCCTAATAAAAATATTGAAAGAGCACAGATCATAGAAATACGTGGTGAGGAAAGGAAAACAATTCATTACTCCCATGAGCAGCATTATGGTAGCTGGTGCGGGGCCCAGACACTCACCGCTGAAAGCCCTTCCAATATTGATCAGTGTTTGTGTCCGTGTGCTCTGCAGCGCAAGACGCACCAGTTCTTCGTCAAGTCGTTCACTGCCCCCACCAAGTGTCACCAGTGCACCTCGCTGATGGTGGGCTTGATCCGGCAGGGCTGTTCCTGTGAAGGTAAGAACCAAATGGTAAGGAAGCGCGGCTTCGGAGCCCTGACGTTACACCCTAAGTTACAGTCACGGAACTTCATGAGGCAGATACATGGTTGTTCTACTCAGCCATTTGCTTGTCTTCGGATAACAGGAATGGAGACAATAAAACAAGCACCTTGCTAACTCGGGTGAATATTGAAGAAACTAGACAAATAGTCCCCAGAAACTTTTTTCAAGGGAGATGTATTTAATATGTTTTATGTATATATTTAAATGTGTTTTATTCAGATGATCCTGTGGTTTAGAAAAAGCAAAGAGATGAAAGTCACCGTTGAACCTATTCGTTTGATTTTAACCTTGGTTAATTTATCAGGGAAATCGTTACTGGAAAGTAGGCATTGCAGTGCCTGTTACTGTGCCTCGAGAGATACTTACTCTCAGCATTTACAGAGGAGGCTTGTCCCTGCCATTCTGTCGAAGGCTGCCCGGTGCCTCCCAGCACTGGGGCTGGGTGTGGCTTATGGGGGGTGAGTGGGCAAGGAGCCTGCCCTCCTGGGGCGCACATTCTGAGAGATGAGAGACCAGAAGTTGTCTGAACAGAAAACAAAGTCATATATTTGTACACCACTTTACTTTTCCTATGACTTTGGAAAAGAAAATGATTTACATTATAACAGGATATAGTATTTGCATATATTTTAGAAATGTGTTTTTTTAATCACATGAGACTTGCAATTATAACAATGCCTCATATATAATTTACCACTATATCCTATTAAAAAGATAAGAAAATAGTCGCTGATCGAGTTCTGATATTACAGTAGTTTCCATTTCTCGCTGTTAGGGGTGGAAGGGACCTTGAAGGTAAGGTGGTCAGTCTGCAGTAGACAGATGTCTTCCCTTTGTAGAGCACGCTTGTGGTTAGCATGAAGTTCAGTGCTTTGAATAACAGGGAAATTAATAGTGTCCAAGGCAACACATTCTATGTGGGTTAGTTCTCCCAGCCAAAGCGGCAACCTCAGTTGTATTATTGTAACTAGTTTGTTAGATGCCTGGGTTTCAAGCCAAAGAAAGTGGTCAGATTGGAAAGTGGAGACTTGAGAGTTTTGGGTGAGTGAAGTGGTGAATATGGGTGACATTATCCAGGAGGTACAGGTAGAAACAGGTGAAGATAAAGTGATCTTAGAAGGAATGGCCTGTATCATTGACCAGAAAGGTGTTTCTGAAGCCAAAAAAGGAGAGAATTTGTATAGTTTTTAAGCCTTGCCTCATTTAGCCAGTGTAGTTGACCCTCAAACAACACAGGCGTCAGAGGCACCAGCCAACCGCGTGCACAGTCGAAAATTCGAGTGTAACTTAACTACTAAGGGCCTGCTGTTGGCCTGCAGCCTCACCAATAACGTAAACAGTCGATTAACACACACTTTGTATGTTATGTGTATTACATGCTATATTTTTACAGTTAAACTAAGCTAGAGAAAAGAAAGTGTTATCAAGAAAATCATATGGACAAGAAACTACATTTACAGTATTTATTGAAAAATGTCTCCATGTGAGTGCACCCGATCAGTTCAAACCCATTTTGTTCAAGGGTCAGGTGTGCTCATAAATGCCATTTTAAATGCTGACCAGAAAGATTCCTGGGCAGCTACTTGGCTTTAGGTTCCTTATCGTATTTTATGCATCAGAGTCACTTGCGATTCCATTGCAGGGCTGTTTGAGATCTCCCCCACTCTCTGCCCTTCCAGAGAGAGTCTCATGCCATGAGGCTCAGTCTGTCTGCTCTTCCTACTTCATAGGAAGCGGCGGGGACCCGTAGACTCTGCCCGTGTGTCTGTCAGTGTGATGATAACGTGCTTACAGCCTCTGAAGATTCCTGTCACTTTCATTTCTTCCTGGGTGTTTGAAATCACCGTGTTTTTTCAGACTCTAAGACGCTCCCTCCCACCCTTGCATTTGGGAGGAATAATGGTTATTAATGCTGCTGTTGAGTTCTGTTTACATTTACATTGGTGAAATATTATGTGATTTATATTATTAAATATTTCACTTTTTTGCTTCAAAAAATTTTTTTCCTATTTTTCTCTAAAACCTAGGTGCGTCTTATGGTCCAAAAATACAGTAGATCTGTTATCGGATAATTATTTGGTTGATTCCACTGACCTTTAGAGATGAGGTTTTTGCTCACTGAAACAAATTACAACTTGTCAGACTGAAGTTTGGATAGTTTTCGGCAGTCAATACTAGCCCATCTGGCCTCCCTGTTGGTTCTGCAACATTCCTGTGTGATGTACAGTGCACTTTTCCATGTGTACGTGCTCCCACGGTGGTATTCTTTCAGTTTCTCTCGTTTTCTGCCCAGATGCTCTCCAGGATCCCCCTTAGAGTAGCAGTTGTCTCATAGATGTTCTCGGTCTGTAAGCCCTCCCCACAGGCTTGTTTCAAATACCTGAACCTTTCATTCTTACCCAGCCACGTCTCAGTGAAATTTGTGGGTTCAGTTTTACTTTGTCATTTTGCCTGAGAGTCTCAAGTTCATCATGTGAGTGTCACAAGCACCCGACACTGTCGTCAGTAGTTAGGTAGGCAGGCTCTGGGCCCGACGGCCTACACTCGAACTGCAGCAGTGTCCCATGCAAGTCCTGTGCCCAGGGCAAGTCACGTGTGGGTGGGGGCGCTGCACCTGTCTTAGGTTGCTGGAGAAAAACCGAAAGCACTCAGTAAAGTTGACTCATTATTATTGCCTTAGTAATAATTTAAGTATATGCAATAATATCAGTGACTCCCAAAGTTTACTCTTAATTTATACCATTTGAATCCTTGAACAGTTCTGTTTCTGAAAAGAGGAATGGGTAAAGTTTGCCAAGTACTGCAGGGTGCCAGATAATGTAATGCCCATTAGGAAGCCTTGCAAGAGAAGTTTCAGAGCATATACCGCGTTGCAGTAGGTGAAGAGGTAGTGGAAACTCCAGAAAGAGCTCTTTGAGGAATTCAGAATTTAAATCAGCCATTTTATTCACAAGATTAGATTTTTTTCTTTCTGTTTGCTTCTTATTTTCATTACTAATGTTAACACAGAGCATTAATATTGTAGTAATTAAAAATATTTACCATTTCTCATTGAAATTCTTTTTGCTGAGCAAATGAATCGGCTCTCCAAATGACAAAATAGTTTTTTAAAATAAAACCAGAGAGAAGCATTCATTGCCTTGCATGTAATGGATGATCAGTGGACTTTCTTTTTGTAACATGAATTTGTATTGAACATCATTTCTTTCTTGTCCCTCCAAAAGTGTGTGGATTCTCGTGTCATATCACCTGTGTCAACAAAGCTCCCACCGTGTGTCCGGTGCCCCCTGAACAGACCAAAGGTCCCCTGGGCATAGACCCTCAGAAAGGAATAGGAACAGCATACGAAGGTCATGTCAGGGTAAGTGGCGCTGGGTTTAGATTAATCTCCTAAGGCCCATTAATGAATTAAAATACAGTCCATTCACCGTACAAACACAGTCGTTGACAGATTAGGTGAATAAAATGTATCTAATAATTTTATTTCTTCCAAAGTAATGATTTGAAAACAAAAGCCTAGTCTTCGCTTGGAAATTAATTCCAGAATGTGTCAAAATGTTCTGTGATGTGTTGTTACCTTGCACTGGACAAATGCGGAAGTCTCGGTGAAGAGCCGTCAGCACTGGGTCGTGCCGGGGGGCGGGCGCGGGGGTGTGCTCTGGAAGTGAGATACTGCCACAGCGTGATCTGACTTGTGAGCTTGAGTGATGCTTAAAGTGGAAGCCGCATTTCATTTCACTACCAAATTTGACTTTTATTCTACTTAGAAAGAAATCCATGAATGTTATTTTAGTGAACTTCCAGTGAAAGTTAAAAGGGTACCACTTAAAATTTTTCATCATTCGAAAAAGCTGTTCGATGATGGGAGAGTGCATTCTCACATGCCTCTCACACGTTGTTGACGGTGTGTGTGTTCCACCTGCCACTTCTCCAGCCAGAGCGGCAGGCCCCTGGCACACTGCCTGCAGGCTCTCCCCGTGTGGGCGCCTGTGTGATCGGAGGGGCTTGGCTGGCTTCTTAGTGTGCGTCGTTCTGTCCGTGTGTGTGTGTGCGCCTCAGATCCCAAAGCCCGCCGGGGTGAAGAAGGGGTGGCAGAGAGCGCTGGCCGTGGTTTGCGACTTCAAGCTCTTTCTGTACGACGTTGCTGAGGGAAAAGCGTCTCAGCCCAGTGTGGTCGTCAGTCAGGTGATTGACATGAGGTGAGCTTCCCAAGGTGAAACTGTTTGTATCTCTGCAATGTGGGAATAAAAAGTGCATGATTCGTCTTCTAATTATACTGCCGTGATTTTATTTAAATCTAGCTTCATGGTAATTTTCTGATTTACCAGTATTGCTATAGCAACATAGTTAAAAACAGGAAATAAGGTGTAGTTACAGGGAAGGTTGATGTGGGGGCAGGGGCCCTGGGGTCAGAGAAAGGAAACTAATGTTTGAATCCAAAGGGCCAGTTGAAAGGCTGCTGGGGTATTATTGGAGGTCCAACGTGTGGTATCAATATCATCACCTACGGGCTTAGAGTGTAATTTCTGCATGAGGAGAGGAAGTAAAAATCTCCAGGTCAGACAGGCCCTTGGAATATGCAGCGTCGGCAGACACTGCAGTGACGTGCCCCGAGCGTTTCTGGCCCCGCTTTGCAGGCTCTCCCCTGCCCCTTGCAGCTAGCTCTCCTTGACCTCCTCTCGCCACTCCTGCCACAACCACCGGATTAGGGAGTGAAATACGGTGGAGCAGATCTGTTGTAGGTGTTGAGGGGACAGTAGAATGAATGACACGCGAGCTGTGCTGAGGGCACCTGGGGCGCGTCATGGGAGGCAGGAGGGCAGGGTCTGCTGGAGGCTCGGGGGCCACCAGCATTCACACCCCAGTGCGCTCGCGCAGCGCTGGCCTCAGGGCTCCGGCGAGCCAGGAGTTGTTTCCAGCTCTTGTGCGAGGGGCCAGTGTGAAGTCGCTGACGCACCACTGTGGGCACCACCAGTTACAATGAGGGAGAAACCGGATTTCTAAAAGAATGAGGTTCCGACGCGTTGTGCTGTCCGTTAGAGGACCGCTTCCTCTGCGTCGTCTGGCGAGGCGCCCGGGACCTCACACACCCGCGCGCTGACTCTCAGCATCTCGCTTTCCCTGCAGGGATGAAGAGTTCTCTGTGAGCTCAGTCCTGGCTTCTGACGTCATTCACGCAAGTCGGAAAGATATCCCCTGTATATTTAGAGTAAGTATGTGCGCTGTGGTTTGATCACTGGGTGGTTTGTCTTTAGTATATGTTTTGCCTCTCCGTTACAGACCACAGACTCATCAGGAGCAGGGCCAGAGCCTTCATTCATTCCTTCGTGTGTTCCGTGTCGCCCGGGACTCACATGCGCAGACAGTGCTAGGGAAACATTTAGCTCTGGAAAGCCTGTGGAAAGCATTAGTAGGTGGCCTCTAACTTGGGTTTCCTCTTGGACAGTATTTTTGAGTCACAAATGAATTTTCAAATACATACTGCCACATGAAAAATAGATTGTGAGGTTTCTCAAATTTTATGAAAATGGACGTTTTTTCTTCTAAATCTGATTTTAAAAATTAACATGTTTTTTAGTTTTAGTGCTTTGCAGTAACCACTCCAAAACTTAGTGGCCTAAAATAAGTGATTGATTTTTCCTCCGTCCCTGTGGGCCAGCTGTGCAACGCCATCGGGGTCAACCGCAGTCCCGCCTGGGTCTGCGTTCAGCTCACTGGGGGCTGGAACATCCAGAACAGCCCGCCCTCACCCCTGGGGTCTTGTGCTGGCTATGTGCGGGGCGGGCGCAGCTCCCTCTGCGAACTCCGTCCGTCCGTGTGGTCTCTAGTTGTGCACGGACTGGCTGCGCTCTCCACGGCTGGCCTCCAAGAGAGCAGAAGGAGCCTCCAGGCCTTCTAAAGCCTAGACACCGCCCCCCAGAAAAAAAGGCATTATAACCCTTTCTCGGGCTGCTAGTCAAAGCAGACCGCGAGGTCAGCCTGGATCTAAGGGGAGGGGAAGAGAAGACTGGAATTCCATAGGAGGAAGAGTTGGTAGCCTCCTTTGGAGACCGTGCACAGAGCGGCCTTGGACTGGTGCATGAAGACAGAGAGGCAGAAAGACAGGAGCGCTGTCCCGACCTTGGGCCTGTATGCTTAGTGTTCGTCTGTGAGTCGCGGGTCCCAGAGAGGTCGGACAGAGACCATACTTTGTCTCGGTTCCTAAGCCAACAGCTGTGCTCTCTCCAGCCCCCAGCGGAGCCTTCCGAGGCCCACCTATTGTAACTGATAAACGTGCTGGAATTTCATTGTCCTGCTGCTTAAATTACTTTGCTAAAGGGTTCACTTACATAAAATTTAAGTCTGTTCCATTATAAATGCTGTTTGCATAACGGAAGCTTCATTTAAAGAGTAATTAAAGTGGTTCTGATCTTCTCTGAGATGACATGGGTTACTGATGTGAAATAACAGGGTGTTTCTGAGCACTTCGGATCTCTTAAATAAAACGTGTTGAAAATCAGTGTGGTGCAGTGCTTACGAGCATGGACGTGGGACCCCGCTCTTGCGGTGTACCCCTGGGGAGAAGAACTTCTGCAGCACAGTTCTTGCATGTGTAAGATCAGGATGTAGTAACAATACCTGTCTTTCTGAAGACGTTAATAGGGTGAGTGAGTTAATACTTGTGAAGTCTGTGATCAGTGCCCAGGGCCCAGTGATTACCCAGAAATGTCAGTTGCTGTTTTATGAGTGAGTGTGATACATTTTTAGTGATAGTACTCTGGCACTTGATAGCAAAGAAAATAAAAATGATACTGACATTTAGAATGGTATCTGCTGCCTCTGCTTTGCCATGAATTCTAATGCTAAAAGTTAGATATTTTTCTGATCAGGAATAGCTAACCTCTGCTCAAGGCACCGCTTAGTGAATGCTCATTTTGCAGACTAGTGCTCAGCAGACTAACCTAAGCATGAAACCGGATAGCAGGGTGTCTGTTCTCTAATGTGAGTTTGATTCACGTTTTCTAGGTCACCACTTCCCAGCTCTCCGCGCCTAATAACAAGTGTTCGGTCCTGATGCTGGCGGACAGCGAGAACGAGAAGAGCAAGTGGGTGGGGGTGCTGAGCGAGCTGCACAAGATCCTGAAGAAAAACAAATTCAGAGATCGCTCGGTCTACGTTCCCAAGGAGGCCTATGACAGCACCCTGCCCCTCATCAAAACCACCCAGGCCGCTGCGATCATAGGTGGGGGTCCATGACATTGCGCCTGACGGGTGACTCACCTGCCTTGTCAGCAGGCTGGCCTTCCCCTGGGGGTCCCCAGCGCCCAGCCTGGTGGGCGTCACATCGCAGCTGTTCAGTGCGTAGTGAGGTAGTGAGGGAGTCGGGCCGTGTGCAGCTTTGTCTCTCAGCACCCAAGACTAAGCACACTTTCCAAATGGGTTTTCTTCTGAAGAAGCAACAGGACTGGAGTTTCGCTCTTAGCACATCTGTTCTCTGCTTGTGTGACTGAGAACAAGTTGTGTGATTTCTCCAAGTGCGAGTGTCCGTGTAAAATGCGGGTGCTGATCACCTCACAAAGGTTGTGGGGACGTTTAAAGAAAGTATGCGTAACAGTTGGGCCCCTACAGAAGCGCCCTCAGAAGACGGCCGCTTTTGTGTTGGGGTTTGAATTTTCACTATATTTTTATGTGCGGGTTTAACTCTTTCATTCCTGTCTAGTAAGTAATGGAAAGGTCGATGAGTTGAGCTCAAATGCCTTTCACAAATTTGCCTCCCAAACCAAGAAGTGGGACCTCACTCAGGACACTCTCAAATGAGGTTTTAATTTTTTCACCTTTTAGTGCATAAACATTTCCTTTTTATGTTCTTAAAAGACACGAAAGAAAATTTAATAGTAAAAAATGCTATTGCTATTTTTATTTATTTGATGTTTTTTATGAAATAGAGCTATCATTTTTATGTAGTTTTTATTGAATAAAATGTTTCGTGTTTATCTACGTCTCACATAGATCACGAAAGGATAGCTCTGGGCAACGAAGAAGGTTTGTTTGTCGTGCACGTCACCAAAGACGGTAAGAGCAACAGTCGTCCTGAGTTCCGTAACTTCCACGTATGTGCTGTCTTTCTTGTGCAACTTAACGGTTCTCTGTCTGAACTCAGGTTGCATTTCTAAGGAAGGACATGAAAGAAAATACAACTTCATTTTTCCATTGTTCTAAAAGTACTAGAAGCAACAGTCATTAAGATATGTTTATTATTGGGGCTTTTCCCCCCTAGTTTATTACAAATAAAGGTTTTTTTTTTTCCTCAAGAGAAATTAAATACTGGGTGAAATAAAAAGAAATCAATTTAATTTAGCATTCTTGAATACAGCGTTTTAAGTTTTATATCAAATTAGGTCATGGGGAAAATGCATTTAAACTTAATTACTTTATTACCCACACAAATACTTTTAGTGAAATATGAGTTACTCATCTTTTAAAAAATACGAATCCCACGATAAAAGTTTCCTAGAACTTAGTACCAGTAAGAAGGTTGTTTGTTTGTTTGTTTGTTTGTTTAAGATCTGGCATGTCTTATCACATAGCAGCTGTTGGCTGGGGCTGGCAGAGATCTCAGTGCTAAATTTAACAGTTTACTATGGGGGTGTCAAATCATCTTGTAATGGGTGTAATTGTGTTCCTCTTTCTCCTTGTGAGTTCTGAGCTCTTATTCTTCTGTGTGTAGATCTGTATTATAAGTTGACTTGTATTCTTTTGCATATAATTGGGATACGGTGAATTAATAAATAAGCAGAACATCTTGGATCTGATTTATGATGATTTCTTTGCGTAGAAATTATTAGAGTTGGCGACAATAAGAAGGTGCATCAGATTGAGCTCATTCCACACGACCAGCTTGTTGCCGTGATCTCAGGACGGAACCGTCACGTACGACTCTTCCCTGTGTCAGCCTTGGACGGACGAGAGACGGAGTTCTACAAGCTGGCGGAGACGAAAGGGTGTCAGACCATCACTTCTGGGAAGGTGCGCCATGGAGCCGTCACGTGCCTGTGCGTGGCCATGAAACGGCAGGTCCTCTGCTATGAACTGTTCCAGAGCAAGACCCGGCACAGGAAGTTCAAGGAGATCCAAGTCCCGTACAATGTGCAGTGGATGGCGGTCTTCAGCGAGCACCTCTGTGTGGGCTTCCAGTCGGGGTTTCTGCGGTACCCCCTGAACGGAGAGGGGGGCCCGCACAGCATGCTCCACTCGAACGATCACACACTGTCCTTCATTGCGCACCAGCCCATGGACGCCATCTGCGCGGTCGAGATCTCCAGTAAAGAGTACCTGCTGTGTTTTAGCAGCATCGGGGTGTACACGGACTGCCAGGGCCGCAGGTCCAGGCAGCAGGAGCTGATGTGGCCGGCGAGCCCTTCCTCTTGTTGTAAGAGTCCCTTTTCTTTCGGCTGTCTTACCTTTCTGTCTCTGCATTGTTCCTTCTGCTTCATCTCCTAGATGTAGGCATGGTTAATAAAAGGTTAACCTTAAGTCATTCTTAAGGTTTTTCCTGAGTATTACTGGTAATTATGTTGTTTATGTAAAGTAACCGTGTGTAGTTAAGCCTGGGCCAACAGTGTCAACATTAATATGCAAATAATCGTTCTATGGAATATTTCACTTAGGTAGATTTTTTAACCCATGTTATTGTACTTTGAAATAACCCTAAGTAGTTATCTTTATGGTCCTCAAAAATACAGTGTGCTTATTAATAGCAGGTAAGACTTCTTCTAGAGATGTAATAACTAAGTGAATTAGTTAATCGGGTATGTAAAGGTATAGTGTAACATCTGTAGGAACTGTTACTCAGTTTTACATTTTTATCTATAGGTAGACATTTAAAACAGCCCATTACACTCTTTCGAGAAACATTAAGACATTAATAAGTTTTGGAATACTCACTGTGTGCCATGCCACTGCCTGAGATATAACAAGTAGGAGGAGTATCCAACCCAGCAAGCATGCTTTGTGTATAGTGGAAGGCCCCTGAGCGTGTTTGAGCGCTGAGGGGAAGGAGCCCTCGGGTGAGTGTCGGCACTGGAGCGAGCGCCCCAGGAAGGCCCGAGAGGAGGGGGTGTGGAACTGGGGGAGAGAGAGCGCAGGAGGAGTGGAACCTCTTCCCCTGTGACAGGAGAGGGGGGGATGCGGTCAGCCTGGCTTAAAGCTTCAGTAGAAGAAAGTTCCCGACAGCTGTATACACCTGTTACAGAAAAAGTAGAAAATCTAGATAAAAAGAAGAAAAGAAAAATACCTCTAACCCTGTGAACCCAGACTTAATTATACTTAATGTTTTATTTCTTCTGAAATATATACTCTTATGTGTGGCGTCATGTTTAGAATGAATGCTGTTTTGTAACCTAGTCAGATAATTTTCAAAGTTTGACTTGTAGTATGGAGTAAGAATTGAAATATCTGACTTTTATGAATAGATTAGCCAAAAGTTTAATTCATGACCTGTAGCGTAGATAAATCATCTAATCTCTCTTTGCTTCTGTCATGGTTTATTTATTCTTTCGGCAAGTATGTATTGAGTATCTACCCTATTTACGTAACTCTGCTGGCTGCTTTATCATGCACTCATAACTGGGACTAGAAAGTACTCTTACCTAAAAATTTCTCTACTTCATAGGTTTGTTTCACTGTCAATTGCTTAAATACTTTAGGAATCCAATACTTTACAATGTAATGAAATTCCTCTATAGACCTAGTATTGGGCAAGGGGATACTATACCCTTGGTGTCAACAGAATCCTTCTGTATTATAATGGCTATAAAATATCTTTATATTCTGTTTACCTCAGAAAGGTTTTGATATAGTTATGTGATAACAGTAGGATGTGGGTGAGATTCCACTCTGTAATTGTGTAACAGATCTTTCCAAAGTTTTCGGTTTAATAGTCCCTCCTCCTTCTCCCAGGTTACAACGCACCCTATCTCTCAGTGTACAGTGAAAATGCGGTTGACATCTTCGATGTGAATTCCATGGAATGGATTCAGACTCTCCCACTCAAAAAGGTAATTTGACATTAGCATATGGGCTTGGCTGTTGAATGAGTCCAGGTACAGCACTAGTATGATTATGACTGGCTATTTTTCACTAATTCAGCAACTTCCAGCATATGTAATTGGTAGTCCAGGATTTAGCTAAGGGTGGAAAAAAATGAAACCAAGCTGCTTAATTTTATAAGTAGCTCAACTCCATACTATTTGTATTCCATTTAGTTTCACTGTATAAATTATGATTATTTCAATGAACAACTAGAATATATCCTACAACCTAAAGGTAATGTCAGCATTACCTTTGGCTATAGTTTAAGGAGCTTTGAGAGTGTATATTATTCTTAATTATAACTGTTTTTCACATAATGGTATGCAATTTAAAAATCCTTTGAGGACAGATTTACAGGCTAGAAAAGTGATTAAAATTAGAATCAAAACTGTGTTTAAGCATCTCATAATTAAAAAATAAAGTTTTCACATATTCCTAGTAAAACACAATATTTTCCTTTAACATTTCCCTGTGATAACATAAACAGAAATTTTTACAAGTAGTATAGAACAGTTATTTTGAAAAAGTGAAGAGGAATAGTTTTGTATAGATAATGTAACACGTGTCATTAGTTAGAGGGCGGGATTTTGGAAGAATAAATAGAAGAAAGTAGCCAAGACTGTATTTCAAAGTCTTCCTCAATTTAAACTACATCAGCAGTGAGTAAAGCTCTTGTAAATACTGCCACATTATATAAAGCTACTAAACACAGTCCTCTACTGTGTAAATTTTGGCTGATTACAATTAGTTTTTCCTTTCAATTTTATTATGTAAAGTTTACACTATACATGAAAGAATATATGGCCTTTAAGAAGCTTAATAAAAAGCTGTTCACTTGTAAACACAACTTAAGGGCCAGAACATTACCACTGACTGTCCCTGCCTCTTCCTGTGTAGTTTTCTCTGTCCCATACTCCTGTCTCCCTCCAGGGAGCTCACTGTCCGGAATGCTGTTTATCATTTCCTTGCTCTCCTTAAATACTACTAAGCACCATAATGTTCAGGTTTGCTTGCATTCGAGGTCACCTCTCTTACTTCATGCATTTGCTGTGTTTCTAAGACTCACCCACTAGCTGTGTGTTCCAGCCACCATGTTGTTACGTGTGGTTCTTTCCTCTCACTGTATGACATACTGTATTGAGCGAACAGACCGCAACTCGCCCGTTCTCTGATTAGCGGCTTTCTGCTGTCATGAGCAGTGTTGCCTGTGTCTTCTGCTGCGTGCGTGCAGGGGTTTCTCTAAGTCCCAGGCCCGGGAATGGAATTGACGGGACACAGGGAGTTCAAATGTTCGGCTTTACAAGCTGGTGTCACATTATTTTCCCCAGTCATTGTCCCAGTTGCCACTCCACCAGCAGCACGTAAGAGTTTTTGCTGACCCACGTCCTTCCTCACGCTTGCCATTGTCAGAATCCAGTTTCATAGCTCTCATAAATGAGTAGAAGGTGGTAACTCATTGAAGTATTAGTTTGCATGTCCCCAATTAACTGTGTTGTTTATAACCTTTTGTATGCTTATTCTTTATTCATGTTTTCTCTTTTGTGAAATATCTAGTCATACTTTTTGCTCATTTTCTGTTTGATTAGTCATCTTTTTCTTACAGGTTTATTGAAATTCTTTATATATTGTAGATACAGGGTTAGTAATGGCTATGATGAATTTGTTCCCTGTTTATGACCTACCTAACAATTTTTATGGTGTTTTGATGAACACTTATTTTTATAAAATAATAATAAAATTTCTTTGCTGAGATTTTGTTAGAAATTTTATTACAGTTAAACATATCATTCTTATCCTTTAAATTTCTTTTTACTGTTGTTTAGGACCTCTTTTCTAACTCAAGATCATAAAGATACAACCTGTATTTTCTTTGGAATGTTTCGCCTGTTACATTTATGTCTTTAGTGCATTCGGATTGATTTTTTGTCACCGTGTGAAGTAGGGATTGGGCTTCCTTTCCTCCGTGTAGATAACCATTTGCTCCATCCCATTTCTCGGCGTCCCTCCCAGGGGTCACACCGTTTGCCTCTGTCCTGTGTGCACTCAGTGCAAACGACATCCATGAAGTGACTGAAGTGTTGGTGTCTGCATGCAGTCATTTGGTCCCTAATAGCTTTAAGAAGTCACATTTAAGGTTTAAATGTAGCTCTTTTTTTTGTTGTTGTTCAGAACAGTCTTCGTTTAAAATGTCATTATGATTTTGTTCGAATTAGATAATTTTATACCTTTCCAGTCAGAATTAATGTTAATTTTTTGTTGATTTTCTGAAAAGGCTATATTTTAAAGAGGAAGGACAAACTAAAGGTATTTATAAATGGGCCAGAAGTTTTAAATATTTAATTTTTGAAAGTTTTGTTGCAATACTAATTTTAGTTTCTATTATTTTAGGCTCGACCTTTAAACAGTGAAGGATCATTAAATCTTTTAGGCTTGGAGACAATTAGATTAATATATTTCAAAAACAAGATGGCAGGTAAGCAAATTCACACTAAGAAGAGAGGTTCAGCGGGACTGTTCTCTCTAGGCTGACTGCCTGAACACAGCAGGGGGCAGACCCCAGTGTTAAACCTGGCCGTGTCTCACTCCAGCCTGTGACCTTAGTCACTGCCACCCTCTCTCAGTAGGTTAGGGTTCACTGCTGGACTAAAAGCCCTCTGTTCACACTCGTGTAGCTGCATAAGCAGAGTGTTGGTTTCTGGCCTACCATGTTATTTTTCTGGGGAATACCCAGGTAAGTAAGGAAAGGAAGACTGAATGTACTTTCCGTACTCGTACTACTGTGGAACCTACCCAAGACTTGTAGTGCTAAAATAAGAAAATTCGTCCAGAGTCCCTGTGTGGGACTGTCGGGAAACATCTTCTGCCGGTCGATGCGTGAGCCTCGGGCCTAGAGCCTTGGAGGGGCTGATGACAGCACCGGCGGCAGGGGCAGGGACAGGGGAGCTGCTGGGGCGCGCAGAGGCTGGAGGAGGGGTGAGAACCCTGGGCAGTACAGAGTGGGGAAAGAGGGCAGTGCCTGAGGGGGTCAGGTGAGTCTCAGCCAGGGGACGGTCCTCAGGGAGCTAAGTAAGTCAGGGGCTTGCTGGTCAGAGTACGTGTGAACAGGTAAAATCTCACTTATTATTATTATTATAATGATATTATTGTAGTGCTCTCTTCTATACAGTAAAGTAAATCTCGTGTCTTAGAAACACATTTCTGGGTAACAGGTATTCATCAACTTACAAGGTGTTGAGGTAGACCTGTTTAACGAAGATGTACTCATGGTACCTAAAATGATTTAAATTGATTTAAATGCAAAAAAAAACAGCATTAAGAAAACACATAAAAATGTTTAGACCAGTCCTCTCTGGGTAGTGGAATTAACATCTTCCTTAAGTTTTTCTCTTTCCCTGTATTCTTCCAATACATTTGTATATTGTACTATCAAAAAAAGACCATCACAAGTTTGTTTAGTGGTAATACACACACATCCTGGCTGGCTTCAGGTTTCCTGCCCAGGTGCATGCCCTGATGCGTCCTCGTGGCTCCGGAGGTCTCTAGGCGCACCCACTGGTGGTGGGGCGGGGGTGGGGTGATGTCCCCGTAGGCCTTGGGGAGGGCAGTCAGGTTTCAGAGGGATTCCCACTGGGACGCAGACTCACGGTGAATGAAGCTAACTTCTGAGGTCCTGCACCCAGTTTTGTGTGTGTTTCTTAGAGGAACCCCAAACATTTGTCTGAGGGGGAGCCTACCCTGTCCTCGCCATGCGTGGCCGTGATGATATTAATGCCCCTTACCCAGAGTGTCCGCAGAGTGAGACCTGTTCCGCCTGGGCTTTCTCCTGGGTTCTGGGCTCTGGGCTCTCGCTCTCAGCGAGTAGAGGTGGACTTAGAGCGGGAAGGCCTGCCAGACTTTCCGTGGAGTTGTCTTGTCCTTTGGAAGGGGAAGGAAATCCTGTTGCCCAAAGACCCTTTGTCTTTTGGTCTTGCTTCCTCCTTCATCTCGCAGGGGGTTGGGTGCCCCTGCAGCCGCTGGCTGTGCAGACTCTCCCATGGCCGCGCTCCCTCGCCACAACCTGCTTCATCCTCACAATTCTGAGGTTAAAATTGTGTTTCACATTCTCACCCACTTTAAGAATGAGGTTCCTTTTTCATGTCCGTTGCTGGGAAAGCAGTCTGATTAAGATGAGGGGAAAGTTGCTTTAGTAATCTTGCTTTGTTCTGCCTCACCCACCCATTTGGCTTCTTCCCACTTTTTTCTCACTTAAGCTTTTTGGGTATTAAAACCGTGTAAAGATGGGCTTTTCCCTTTTTCCCAATCTTACTTAGAGAACGGCGTCTATCATGTCATGTGCTGTCACTGTCTACAGCCTGTTCACACCCCCCGCATGTGCGGGGGCCCAGGGCTGACAGCTCTGTTTGCTTCTGTGGTTGGAACTGAAGTGGGGGAGGTGGGCACTGGCCTGCTGGTGTCTGTGATCAAGTTTCATCTGCCCTGAGATCAGACGAGTAGAAATAGTGACAGTTTCCTGCCTCTAGTGAAGGTGACTGGTGGGAACATGGCTTCTAGTCCTGACTGTACACCTCACAGATGGCAAAGAAAATGATCTTGCAAAGAAAACACTTTAATATGTAAAAATAATGGTGATTGTTTTCATTTACATGAATAATTTACCCTTCATGCCTGATTACTGTGCAGGTTAGCAATAGCTCTTTACCGCCCCGAGCTGTGGAAACCAGTCCCCAGGAGAAAGAGAGGGTGCATTGTTGGGGGTGGGGCGGTCAGACTGACAGGACACCAGGCAACTGCACTTGTCTTTCTTCTAGTAAAACGGTGCAATTTTATGCTTATAATTACAAGTATACTTTGTAAGCTATGTTTATCTTCATCTGTTTGTTTATATATATGTTCTGAAAATTATTGCTTACTTACCATGATCAACACACAACTTTTAAAAATCAGAATTGCATGCAGTATACTCACACAATTGGTTAATATTTGGACTGTCTTAGAGATGAATGGGTAGAGAGCATTTTATCACTTTAAAAAACATCGTTGTTCTCTGTGTTTTGTTTTTTTTTAACAGAAGGGGATGAACTGGTAGTTCCTGAAACCACAGATAATAGTCGGAAACAAATGGTTAGAAATATTAACAACAAGCGGCGTTACTCCTTCAGAGTCCCGGAGGAGGAAAGGATGCAACAGAGGAGGTAGAGACTCCGCGTCTCTGAGTCTTCCGCACGTGCCTGTGGCGTGGGGAAGGCTGTCTGATGGTGATACTGCATTTGATTGAAAGTTTGATCTCTGAAAATCTGTCCTTCACCTGTGGTGTTAAAAGCTGCAATGATGAATGTACACCTCAGGGCGATTTTAATTAACACTCTCCAAGATGTGTGAACTAGATTCAAGTACCATATTTTGATTCATTTCTCTATGTATATGGAGTAATGACACTTTTTAGAATGCGAACTTTGTTAAATATAAACATAGAACCTACCTGTGCATAATAGTAAACCTGTTTATATTTAAGGACTTCATATTAACTGTTCTCTTTATGACAAACAGAAAGAGGCTTATGGGATTTTCAGTTACATATAAAAACATTTCTAATTGTTATCAATTATTGTAAGACAGACATAAATGTTCAGAATTATCTGTAAAATAGACCAGAGCTTCTTTGATGTCTCTGTGCTAAAAGAATTGTCTCACCCTGGCTGGCATAGCTCAGTGGATTGAGCGCGGGCTGCGAACCAAAGCATCACAGGTTCAATTCCCAGTCAGGGCACATGCCTGGGTTGCGGGCCAGGTCCCCAGTGGGGGCCACATGAGAAGCAACCACACATTGATGTTTCTCTCTCTCTCTCTTTTCTCCCTCCCTTCTCCTTTCTAAAAATAAATAAAATCTTTAAAAAAAATAAAAGAATCATCTCCATTTTCCCACTAAAAATTGTAAGATCTTTTATTTAAAGTATAAAACAAATCTTCTAAGTAAATTTTAATTGAGTATATTCTACTATTTTAATTCTATCTGTATTAACATGATTTCACATTTATTTTTATGAAAAATAAAGTATCCTTAATTTGTTTCTAGAATTATTTAGCTTGATCATCGAGAGTGTCTAAACACGTGTTTTCTGTTACAGAGAGATGCTCCGAGATCCTGAAATGAGAAATAAACTAATTTCTAACCCAACCAATTTTAACCACATAGCACACATGGGCCCCGGGGACGGAATCCAGATCCTGAAAGACCTGCCCATGGTGAGAGGCGTGGCGGGGGCGTGGCAATGAATTGGGATTAGAGTGAAGGGGTGTGTGTGCATACACCCGCGCACACATACTGTATATGCTTAGACATATATAAGGCTTACTTAAAAGAATGTGTTAGGATAACGAGGAAATGTTTATCTCAATATATCACAATGTGTACAAAATGCATGATGACATACCTGATGAGAAAAACAAAATTTGCACATTTATCAAAAACCAAACACAGCACGTTATCATTTAGTTGCATCCCCTATAAATTTGTCCCATACCTGGATCTACTATTGCTGGTAAAATAAACTGCCAGATTCGAAGAGGATTTGTACCAAGATTCAGAACTCGGCTACCAACTCACTGAAACTTCAGTGAGGTTTAGCAACTGAGTACGTACGCAGAGTTGGCCCGCCCTACTCCCAGAGAACCAGATTGGCGCGGCTGTTAATGGTCACACCTGTCGGCTGATTGTGGTCAAATCTTTTTCCTTTGCCTGGTGGTCAGTCTTACATTCAAAAGGCAACATGTTGCTTTTTTAAAATAACATAAAGATTGGATTCTTGAACCTATTATGTTGAGATTAAGAATATTAGTGTGCTCTGTTTATACTTAACATTTCAGTATCAGAGTGTTCTCGACATACTGTTGAAACTTTAGCATCACCCTATTGATCAGTGGTGATAACGTAGATTTTGCACAGAATTTTAAGCATAATTTGTATACTATAGCAATTTGGGGGATCTGTGAGTTTTGACCCACAGCTCTTCCTGTTAGGCAGAAAAAGTGATAGGTAATACAGTTTGATGTGCAGTCAAGTTTTTTAAAATAAAAAAAAAGTAAACCTTTAAAGGTAGTTTTGCATGTATTTCTTGGGAGAAACAAACAAAAAAAAATAATGTGCATTCATTCAGGCCCAGGTTCCTCATTTTAGATACCCCAGTTAACCAGTTGGCCCTGCTCGTGAATGAATGAATGAATGAGTTATTCTTACTGTTGTCGTTTTCATCATCACTGAGACGTTACATGGCTGCAGTAATGCTCCTTCCTCAGGGAGTTCAAATCATTTGTAATAGTTATTCATCCTTCTGAAACAGGGATTTTTATTAGCTGTGCTGGATAAATGTAAAGAAATTATACAAAAAGAGTATAGTTAATCTTCATATAGTAATTAAAACTAAAAATTTTAAGGCTGAGCATAAATATTAGGCTAAAAATATTGGGCATAAATAAAGGCTGAGTCTAAATATTAAACTGTTATATTTAAAAGCTATACTACCCTGACCGTATATTCTCAGAATTCAGTATATTCTTTCTAGTGAAATGGGATTACCTGTATTAATGAACTATTTACAAAAATGGAGCTGGATTAAATTAATGTAACAGCCTATATAAGAAGAGTTTTCAAATACCAAAGTTATGTATTGTCATCCAAGTAAAGAGCACACACCCAGACATTTCTCTGTTTTACTTGTTCAAATCTGTCACTTCCCTATGAAATACAAGCTTAGAGAGTTTATTGGATGTCTTTGAAAGCTTGGTTCTGTTTTTCTGCCAAAATGATTCTGAACTAGGGTTGTTTGCCTCGTGAATATGGAAGAGGTAGTAAGAGTCTTTTTTAATCTCCTGTATCAGATGTGAGCCTTTCATGTGTATCTCAGTGAGACAAGGGAATATAAACAGTTAAAATAGCACATATGTCTTAGAAGTACGTGCTGTATTCCTTTTCTTGAATCCTTTTTGCCAATTACCTTTTTTTCTTAAGTGGATACTGGTAATAAATGACAAATTTGTCTCCAGTTGAATGCAGTAAGAATGTTTTACCTCTAGAAGATTTAACATGTAACATCTTTCTTACCCATTCCTAAAGTTGACAGTAAATATTTTTAGCTCAGTGACCTCATAGAGCTTTAAGAAGTAATTTTTGTCTCTTAAAATCAAAGTACATTTACATCATTAGTTTTTTTTCTTTTGGGGAATAATCTTAGAAACTACTGATTTCACTCACATTTCTAAATTTAAAACAATATCCTTTATAGGAACCTTTTTTTTAAGCCTACATATTTTACCAGATTTTTTTTTTTAAACAGAGCAAGCTTATGTCAACTCATGAGAACAGAAATTCAGCGTTCTGTCCTGCAAGTCACCCAGCCTCTGCCTTGAACTAAAGAATCGGGCGGTATTTTCTGGAAACAGTTGTTGTTTAAGCAACTGAGTCTCCAACCTCCCATTAGAGAGGGCAGCTGGGAACTGACAGCTCCCAAATAAATATTCAGGAGTTGTTTTATCTGAAAAACTACAGTCCTTGACTCCACAAGTTTTTTTTCTGTAGGTCTAGCTTTACATTATTTTTCAAATGCACCTGAACATTTAAGGGAAGATGTTTCCCATGTTGAAAAACAAACATTCTTTTGGGTGTCTACATGGAAACAAACTTGGGCTGCTTCGAGGTAAACCAACAACTAATATATTCCACAGCTACCATTTTTATTATAGGAAAACAAGACCAGGAAAAGCAAACTCGTATCACAGATCTGTAGAGACCAGGAAATGGCCTTGGGTTTCTAAGGAAACAGTCATAACACTTCCAGGGAGAGGCTGGTTGTTGGTTCACTTGTTCTTTTATAATTTCTTGCTTTTTCTGTCCTTAACGTTTTTGGTAGATTTTTGCCATGTTTTGATTCTGTCACATAAGAAAATGCTGAAGTAAAATCAGAGTCTCCTTATGACTCTGAAAGTATAGTTTGTACTCTCTTGACAACAGTAATAGACGAGAATCATTTTATAGGGTGAATGATTCCCCTTTTTGCAAATTAGCTATTTAAGTACCTGGTTCAAGAGGATTACAAAATTTAACTCCCTAAGGCCTAAAAGTATTTCATTAAGGATTCGTTTCTGATGTGATGTGCTTACTTCATTTTTCCTTCCATGGCATGTTGTCTGAAGTGTCACCTGTAACCAGTGAATCCATTTCATTACCTTGTCACCTTTTTCTCCTTCCGGTTGTTTTGATAGCCAGGCTTCCCGTATCCGTCCCCTCACCGTCACCCCGGTCTGATCTCCTCTCCGGTCAACTTTGAGCACATCTATCACATGACTGTTAATTCTGCTGAAAAATTTCTCTCTCCTGACTCCATAAACCCTGAACACCCCCCGTGTCTGCGCTCTGTCCCCGGCACGCCCAGCCTCACGACTCTGAGGGTACGAACCGCTGCATCAGGCGTCCACCTGTACTAACCCACGTGGCCGTCCTCTGCCTGCTGCCTCAGTAACCCCGCCGAGGGGGCGCACTCTCTGAGCCGTTCCCTCCGGTTGGCTTCCCTCTTGCCGGACTTCTGTTCTTCCTCCTCCTCTTCCTCCTCCTCTTCTTTCCTCAAGTCCTGTTGTCTTCTTTTGAAGAAAAAGATGAGGACTGGCGAGGATATGAGTTTTCTTTTTGAAACTATATTGAAGGTTTTTCTGTGTTTGTTAGAATACTTCCCACCGTGGTATTTTCCGTCACAGAGACTGTGATGAGAAACAGCCCCAAGGGGGTCTTCATTCTGTCCAAACAAAAAGGGACCCCAGCATTTCTGAATTTTTCATAACTCATTCAGAGAAGTGTTTTCTATTTATTGAAATTAAAGTCTGTAGTGTTTGCTATTCACAGGCCTTCTAGCTACAATAAATCCCTCTGAAAAAGCTTTAAAATCTCCAAAATAAAAAATATAATACAACAGTATTAATGAATAACAGTAAAAAATAACAGTAAAAGAAGGTAGTCTTACAGATCTTTAAGTTGCTGGTGTGCCTTTAATTCCAACCAGGATCCAACATAAGAGAACTAAATTGAAGAGAAAAATCACTGCCTGCGCCACATTCTGAAGGCCCATCCAACAGGGCATCTGCCAGCAGCCCGTCCCCACAGCCTCAGGTCTTTGTAACCAGCGGCTTTGCGGGGGCCGGTGCCCATTACCACTGAGTACCCATGTTTCCACCGAGAGATATATGTTTGTACTTCTAACTCCAAGGGAGCGTTTTCTCAAGTAAAGTTACAGATAAAATGTTTGGATCGGATCACGCAAACCCATTCTTCATAGTGCCCTCTGGTGTCAAGAAATGGTGGCATCAGCTTTTTATTTGTATATGTAGTAAATTTTCCAGTAAAACTAGCTGTGAGATAAGTTTCTTTTCATACTTTTGTTTATATTTTAAAATTATCCTAAATTATGTTTTAAATGTCATTGACCTAAAACTATAATGTATCTTATTTAACAAAATAATTACGACAAAATAAGCCTTAGTTTGGAAGCAGATTATAGGTAGCAGATCCTAGAACAATGTTGTATAAATCTGTCAAGAATTTTTCATGTAAAAAAGGTGGTGGAAATGTTGCTTAACTTCATCATTTGTAAGTAGAAATACTGCTGGTGGGGCAAATTTTACCCTGATCTTAACCATATTTGTACATGAAAAGGACCTGCTGGTTAGGTTTCATATCACTTTATAGTGAAGTTGAACAATAGTTGAATGAATGATAAACTGTTGGGATTTTAAAAAATAAAACACATATTTTGCATACTATTCTTTTATTACTTAAACGTTCAGTGTCCCTAAAGAGCTGATGTATTTTTCACAGGCTTAGTTTTTCGTCCTTTTGCTTCGGGGCAGGTTTGTTTTGTAGAAAAGGACAGCACCAGGGTATCTAAGGCTAGTAGTGAGAGTGGGAATGGTGCAAGGGCTGGAGCCGCTAGTCCCCGCCTCCCGCACTTTCCTTTGCTGCCTCGTGTGCATGTCGCTGGCGTGTTGCAGGGATGCTCCGGGATGCATGAATGTTGAAATATTAGCACTGTTCCCATTCACAACTTTTTATTTTTTAGAGAAAAAAAGTAAAGCATTTGCTTTTAACAAATAACACTAGGAATTACATGGACTTTGCAAATTTGATACATGAACCAAAACCACTGTGGTTGAATTTGGGGCCAGCCAGCCAGCCCTCCAGCCCTCTTTCAGTGTGTGTGATTCTGCAAAATATGTGATTTAGAGTTTTTCAAGTGGCGTTAGTGCATGTGTCACGGGGCTGGCTTTGGCCCTGTGTTACTTGTTTTGCCATAATCTCCTCCAGCTGTCACCCCTGACAGCCCTTCAGGTCTCAGAACATCAGGGTTGCTGAGGAGACCTCGGGCTTATGTTCCCAGCTGTGTTTAGGTGGCTTGTCCCACACGCCACCTCTCTGGGGGTGTGGCTTTCCGATCACCCTGTGGCCCATTTTCCTACCTTAGACACCTTGGAAAGATCATTCGATAATTAGATGGAAAACTTCTCAACCAGTATTCCAAAGCTAAATCACTTCACATAGACTGTGATTGCTGTAAAAGTTGTGTATGTTTCGACTCTGTTCTGTTCGTGTGAGGCAGTAAGGATGCCTGGTGACTGGGGCTGGGAACATGTGAAGGCACGTCTGTCATGCCAGTGAAATATTTGCTTGAAGGAATGTATTCTTAATTGATTCTCCTTCAAATGGGATTATAAAGCTGTTGAATTATCCTAAGCAAAGAAGAATCTCATACGTAGCTAAAGCTTTGTTTCACTCATCTGCAAATGTCCGTGTAATTCTACCGTTCACTGTCACTTCTAACCAAGTAACTGTTACTGTTCTCCCAACAAAACAATTTCTTGTTTGTGGGTAAGTGTTTCAGCGAACATAAGGATCAGCACTTCCCGTTTGGGCCGAGGGCTCCTTCTCATTAGGGCTTCCGTACCTTTGTGGGCAGAAGGGGTTGTGTTATCTGTTCCTTGTTTTGTGCCGCTCTGGTCAGGATCATTTTGTTCTTGAAATTACAGTGAAAAAAGACATGTCTGCAGAACATCAGCTTCTGTCTGGTTGAAGAATTTTCTTTCTCTCTTGTTTGTAGAACCCTCGGCCTCAGGAAAGTCGGACAGTATTCAGTGGCTCAGTCAGTATTCCATCGATCACCAAGTCCCGCCCTGAACCCGGTCGCTCCATGAGTGCCAGCAGTGGCCTGTCGGCAAGTAAGTGGCCCCGACTGCAGGAAGGCAGGTCCCACCCTGTGCTGCCCCTGCGCATCTGTGCGGTACCAGAGGACCCCAGTATCGCAGCCGCTGCTGGCTGTGCCCAGTAAGCACAGTGCAGGTGTGAAGCTCGTGGTCAAGGAGCCCTTGTAGAGCCCAGGCCACCTCGGAGGCAGACCAGTCACCCTGCAGAGCGTGCTGATGGAGATCCGCAGGGAATAAACAGGGTGCAGCAACAGAGCCAACCAGGGGCAGCTGTGGGTGTGAACCCCTCCCGAGAACTGGGAGAATCGCGTCCCCTTCCAGGGGTACAGTCACGTTTCAGTCCTGTCTGACGGACAGAAGGCTGGGGACGGGGGTCCTGGTGGTGGTTGGGAGTGACAGAAACTGAAATGCATGCAGTAGGTAGGTAGGTCAAATAGGGGCTTGGAGAACAAGGTGAGACTTCTTTTTAATGCAGCAGAAAGCCTTTGAAGAATTTTAAGTAGGGAAGGACCTATACGCACTTCGCTCGAGGCTGCCAGACGGAGAGTGGGCTGACGCTGTGGGTCCGGAGGGCTGGCTGGCAGAGCAGTGGTCAGGTGCGCTGCAGGGGGCCTGGGCCCATGGAGGAGGAGGAGAGGAAATGGTCTCCAGATAAACTTCCGGGGGCAGAAACACTGAGGCTCGCAGGTGAACTAGCTGTGGGACGGCAGGTGAGGGGAGGAGGTAAAGGGATAAGGTTTCCTGCGGCTGGCTGAGGGACCGCGGCTGGCTGAGGGACCGCGTCCCGGACCTGCACAAAGGCCCCAAAGCCAAAAAACATCAGCCTGTCTGAGTAACTGAGGGAGGGCTGGGGGCGGGTTCAAGGATCTACCCTTTTGCCACAAAAGCAAGATAAGATGGGTCATTCACTCAGTAACCACTTTTAAGGACCTATTAGGTACCAACTCTCCCGCCAGGGTGCGGAGGGCAGCGCCACCCCCGACGAGCACCTGCTTTCAGGCGCTCTCCGTGTGCGTTGTTGTCGGCCTCTGCTTCCCTGTCTGAACGGCGGCGTCTCCTCCAGGCCTCAGCACAGAAGCCCGAGATAACGTCAGGGGGGAGGAAAGGCGCTCCGTGACGTGCTCCCGTCCAGCTGCGGCGGAGCCGCTTGTCCTCGGGAGGAAGGGGAGGGAGGGTGCGCCGCAGGCGCTGTTCCTCTGAAGGGAAGGGCACGGGCCGCCGGAAGCCGCCCACCTCAGACTGAGGGGAAGGTGCAGCTGGACTACTTGGCCTAGTTAAAAGTTAGTTTCATGTCGCTGAGGTCACTGAGGTCTTTGGTAATTACTGCGTGACACGCAGCGATCGTCACGTGGTCACTGTAGCTTCCAACTTGGGGGCCACAGTCCTGGGCCCGGGACTGCTCTCACCACTTGCTCCGAAGCAGCGCCGCAGCACCGAGGTCGGAGGGTGTAACTGGAGGTGGCGACACCTGCGCAGCCCCGGGTCCCAACGCGTGTCATCGTAACTTGAACGGAACCTCTCCCTGCCCCGCGACCGGTCTGTGAGAGGATCGGGTCGCACCACGTGCAGGCTCACATTTAAAAGCCAGTCGGTCGACAGCCGTAGGTGTTGCCCGTGTCCTTGGACCGTGTCCCAGCCGAAGCCGCCTCAGGACGCGGCCTTTCCTCCCACGCTGGTGGTTGGTCACGGAACACTGACGTCAGCGCCCGCGCATGCGCAGCTGCCGGGGGCGCGCCGAGGACGGCCCTTCGCTGGGTGGGTTCCCCTCCGGTCGCGGAGACTCGAGTGTTTGGGTGGCCACCGGGTACGTAAGCTTTACCAGTCGTCTTTTGACATTTTTATTGAATTCTTAATGTAAAAAACCCACAAAATTGGGATTTGTTAAACCAGCGAAAAGCTAAAATAGTCACAGTTTGTATCTGATCATAGTCTTTTATGACCAGTGGTCTTAATATTGAAGCTCAGCAAGACTAACACATTTTTTAAGAAAAATTTTTAAAGCAATAGGGAATGCCAAGAGCTTTGTATCTCGGTATTTTGCCCTGCAGGATGAAATTGCCCAGGTTCCTTTTTTTCATTTGTGAGCATTCTCTAGAAGCGAAGTGAGGCTGTGCGTCCAGTGGCGTGGCCTTTTTCTCGGGGAGGTGTTCTGTGCCCCCCCCCCGTCCCTGGCTCGTCGTTGAGCTCCTGCCGGGCGCCAGGCCCTGTGCGGGCCCTGGCGGGGCAAGACCGCCCCTGAGTCCCTGCGTCCGTGTGTCCGTGCGTGAGGAGGCAGCGGGCCCCTGGGTCTGGCATCACAGGACCCGCGCCGGGCAGCGGGAAGGACTCTCGAGGGCTGATTCCGTGGGACTTGTCCAGCAAGCAGGGCGGTCCGGGCCCGGCCAGCAGGTGCTGTCCACTCCCCGGGTGTCCCGACGGCGGCCCCGGAGCAGGACCAGCCGTTGGGGAGGGGAGGGCCGGGCCCAGGGTGCGCCTGGGAGCCGGGAATGCGCATCGGGACTCCCTGCCCATCCGTCCCTGAAGGACTCCCAGCCCCGCGGGAGGGGGCGGGGATCCGGGGCAGTGGGAGGGTTGGCTCTCCACGCCCCCCACCTTGGGCGTCTGTCGAGTTCCACCTCCCCGTGTGCCGCAGGGTCGTCCGCACAGAACGGCAGCGCGCTGAAGAGAGAGTTCTCCGGAGGAAGCTACAGCGCGAAGCGGCAGCCGCTGCCGTCCCCGTCCGAGGGCTCGCTGTCTTCGGGAGGCATGGACCAAGGGAGTGACACTCCGGCCAGAGACTACGACGGGGAGGTGAGTGGGGCGTGGGGGCGCTGCCTGGGCCGGGGCGCCCCTGTAGCCCGGGGACCCGCGTGTTCGCCGTCAGCCGCGGTGGCAAAGCCCATCGCTCAGGTCGCAGACTCTGGTGTCCCGGAGGCGCTCAGACTCCTCGTGGCCTTGCGTGAACGTGACCTGCGTCCCCAAAGGCCCGTGCGTGTTGGTTGTGCTCTGTGCCTCTTAGCTCGGGAAGGGGGCCTGCCTGTCCCGACAGGAGAAAAGTCACACGAGGTCATGGGGGGGGGGCAGTGGTCACCCGAGACCCTCCTGCCCCCTTGCCCGTCGCTGATGTCTTCCTCTGGGCCTCACAGGACTCCGACTCTCCGAGGCATTCCACAGCTTCCAACAGCTCCAACCTGAGCAGCCCGCCCAGCCCGGCGTCCCCGCGGAAGACCAAGAGCCTCTCTCTGGAGAGCACGGACCGCGGGACCTGGGACCCGTGACCCGCCTCGACCCCAGATGGACCAGAGCCACTTCTCACTCTCAGCCGCCCGCCCCGCGCTCCCTTCCGTCTGTCCCTCCGCCTCTGCCTGACAGCCCCGTGGTGGCAGCGGTGGGGGGCAGGACTCAGGAGTGTGACGGTGGCTCCCAGACCTGCCCCTCTGCTTCACAGCAACAACCATAAAGGCAGACGTTCATGGAACAGCTTAGATTAACACTGATTTCATTTCATACCCTTAGAGTTGCTTTCCATAATATTTTACCCGCGCCCCCCAACGGTAGCTTCAGTAGACCGATGACACAAAGTTGTAAGCACTACGGTAGGATTAGACAGACTCTGTTTTCTCTGCCCCTCTCAGTGTAGTCCCCAGATGGCACTCGGGTTCTCGGGTGTTCCCGGAGCTCCCGTCCGCACCCACAGTGCACGTCGCCCCGGTCGTTGCCAGTCAGCCCTTATTAATGAAAACAATGCCTATTTTACTACGATGCAGAGTTTAAAGAACTACACAAATGTAGAGGTTAAATACTGAATGTACATAGTGAAAAGAAGCATCTTGTATTCAGTGAAAGATGGATGCATATATAAGAGAGCATTTAATTTAAAGAAGTGTGTTGTTTCTTGTCTGTTTTCCAGCTAAGTAATTTAAACAGCAGAAAGGCCTGGAGCTGACCTTGCGGAGGGAGAGGGAGAGGAATCAGGGTTCCCTTTGGTGCCGCATCCTCGCGCTGGGGCAGGGCCCAGTCCCCTGGGAGCTGTAGGAAACCGTGCAGACTTCAGTGTTGTGGGGTTGGTGTACGCCTGGGCGCCAGACTTTTTGACATTTGAGGCCTCTGCAGCAGCAGCCTCAGGAGGCAGATTTCCTTCTATCCAAGACCTTTCTTTTTCTAGTAGAATTGAGCCACGCTTCTGTTTGATACAGTGGTACCTTCTGCAGATGAATGTAGAAATTCAGTTTTGTTACCTTCTGATCCCTTCCATCCGACACAAGGAACTCAGTGGCTTCTGAAGGGCCATGAGAGGGTCTTAGAAGTGCTTTTCTTTCTGGGCTAATCCCATCCCCCCTAGTGGCAGTGAGGTGTCTGTCCCCGAGCTGAGCCGGTGTCTCAGGGAGGAGTCTGTTTTGAGTGTGGTGCCAGCTTCCTCAGATAAGCCTGGGAAAGGGGTTTAATTACCAAATAATAGAAAACCTCAAATGCAAGGACTTGAACAGCCTTAACCAAATATTCTTTCCCATACGCAGTGGGTAATGCACGTGTTCACAGGGCACGGCAGGAGGTCTGCCCAGCGTGGGCGGGCAAGTGCTGCCTTGACCGGATAAGCTTTTCCCCTCATTTGCTACATTGTGTTGTTAGTTACATTTCCGTTTGAATTCCTGCTGTTTTAATTACTGCAAGGAAATGAGATGCAGAACCAGAACTTTTTTCCTGTCATTTCACCAGTTAAGCACATGATAGAGAAAGAGATAGAAATAAACATATCTCATGGAAGTAAAGAGAATTCTCTCCTCTTTTTCTTTTTATCTAAATTTGAGAACTAGAAACAGGATTTTTTTCCCCCTCTCTTTGAACTTCAGCTAAAGCGGAAGAGTTTGCCTGCAGCGGCAGGGTCGGAACACTGCAGTCACCGGAGTCTGCGCAGCCCTGAGCAGCCGTGCCTGCCTGCCAGGCCACTGCGAGCCCCAGGGGGCCGAGCCTGCTTCCAGGTCCAAGCTGCTCTGTGCAGAAGGTCATCGAGGTTCAGTGACAGGAGAAAAGATCCTGTTTGGGGATTATATCGCAAAAGGTTACAGTAGAGAAGTTAAAAATAATGTTAAGCTTTGACATTTAGACGTTCTGAGCTAGGGACTCACTCCGATGTGACAGTTTTACTTTGGTTGGGCCTGACTTACTGTGCAGTTCTAACCTCCCAGATCTTTTTGCTTTTGGAAAAGAAGCGTCACGGAAGACTGTTTTGTACCTCCGGTATCCAGGGCTGGACCTTGAGTTGGGTTATTGCCATATGACTCTGGTAGCTCCTTAAACTTGGCATTTCCCAGGAGAGGAGGGAAGCAACCAGCCGGCCAGTGGCTGAGTGTCTGGCCGGCTGCCTCCTCCCCTCCTGACCCTCCTTTTCCTCTCTATTCCTTGGTCCTCACATACCCCCCACCTGCTTCTCTTCCCTGGGACTCTGTACTAAGTCATTAGTTTATCTCTCCGACAACTAAGTGAGTGTTTGTTGCCTGTAGGTGCTTACTTTTTAAAGGATGCTTTTAGGATCAAAATATAATCCTACTGAAGCCTGGACTCCACTAGTGAGTCGTACCCTTCAGCCTCCCAACAGGGCAGATGAGAGCAAGCTCGTTCCGGCTGCCGGGATCACAGGCCATCACTTCTTGGTAACCCTGTGGAGTGCGGCCTAGCACGTTCGCTTTCCGCAGCAATCGTACGTGGTACCGGCCCCACACCCGGCTAGATTCTAACAGCAGGACTCCGGAAGAAACACAGACTGGGTTCTAGTTTGGCAGGCTCCCAAGATAATGATCCCCCTACCAGTCTCATCCCCAACACCAAGTGGGCGCCTTCAGAAGCTTCTAAGGAGAATGATTTGAAAAGACAGGGATGAGTGCCCGGGAAACGGCGATCACTCGGAGGGATCAGTAGCCAGGGTCACGGGAAGGTTTCCGTGCCGTCTGAGGTCACCCTTGTGTTTGTGGGGGACACTTTAAAACGTACACGGCAGCAGGAACTCCGTTCTCTTCTCAGTAGAAAGGAACAATAAGCGAAGGGACATTTCTGACATAGCCCGAAGTGTTGGTATTTGGTGCTACTTACGTCCAGCCAGTTTGTTGTCGACCCTCGAATTCTAATTTAATCTTGTCATGTGCTTTGGGTGTATGAAATTATGTATATACATACATATTTCTTTTTACCAAAAACAAGCCTTCCTTCTTATCAAATGACTATTAACGTGTATTTCACTTCCTTAATCATGTGTGGACACACACACAGCACACGCCCTGCTAGCTTAGTGACTTGTTTTCCCGGGAGCACAGTGTTCAGGCCATGCGATACACAGCTGAAAGGTCTCTCGAGCTTTCCAATCAGTTCTTGTACCCAAGCTTCAGGGAGGACTCTGAAATTCATATTATGTTTACAGCAACAACCTGCCATTCCCTGGCTGGCTCTCAACCTTTCCCTGCTTTCCGCATTGTTAGAATCAGTCATTTTGTTTCTTAGCAGCCACACCTACTTCTGTGAAAGCCCAGGTGGCATTTATGTGGACTCAGGTACCTTCGAGAAGAGCCAGCGCAGGGCTGGGCGGACATCCCCTCCCCCCACGTACAGCAGGGCCCTTTGCCTGCCTCTGGCTGTGGTCGCGCCCTGTGGTCTCGGCTGCACGGGGCCTTGGGATGCTCACTGTCCACTTTCTGGACTGAGTGGCACTCTCAGCATTGGTCACACTTCGCCACTCCCCAGATCCGCTGGGCACAGCAGGGAAGTAACGGGCACTTCCCGCCCCACCTCCCCGGGCCCGGCCCCTCATGACGTTTCCTGGAGTCCATCTCTAAAACCTCTCTCCTTGTTATGTCTTCAGTTGTCACTCAAGCCCAGCGTTCTCTGCAGAGTCCCTTGCTTCGCCAGAGCTCCCTCTCCCAGCCCAGCACTGGCCAGCAGGCCCGGCCTCTCGCCCTCCCCAGGGGCAGCCCTGGCACACAGAACCTTGTCCTTTTCGGGGGGCGGGGTAGGGGGAGGTTGACAGAACCAAATCAACCCTGAAATCTCATGAAAACAAAATGACCTGCCTCTTTATTTGATAGTGTAATATCATTTGTTTCATAAGTTCTTTAGGGTTTTTTCTCATTGTAATATTATTGTACAGTTTTGCATGGCCTAGGTGTAATCATTTTTTTTTTGTTTAGAGTATAATGCTGACAAATGATGTGCGTATGGAAGGGGAAAAGATATTGCTTTGGCCTTTTATCACTTCCTCATTTCATTTTGTTTGATTTTCTGCCCTCGGTGTCTTAGGGAAGTTTATAAGAGATTCTCTGCTACCAAACAGTGGTGTGGATTCTTTTGCACAGAAATATTTAAGGTGGGATAGTCAAAAATGTAACAGAAGACTCCTCGCCAATATTTTATGTCGGTATCACTTAATATTAACCAGACTTTGATGTATTGCAATAAAACAGGGAACTGTTAGAATTGAGTATTTTGTCTTTTTTCCCCGATTAAAAAATCTGAGGAATGGAGAAAAGGTGACCGACTCGTCTTGCAGGGTTCTGCTCCCTGCGGGCCCCGCCCTGCGTCCAGGCGTCCTCCATACACTGCGGAAGGACATGGGGTTAGTTTAATCCGGGACTCTCAGTTCCTCCCACAGCTCAGGTAAGAGTTGTGTGCTGTTCTCCTCTGGTCAGAACTCCTACTGCCTGTATCAGTGGGCGTGGCCAGACTGCTTCCGTATTTTGGCTATTACTAATAATGCTGCAATGGACATGGAGTGTATATATATCTTTTCAGATTAGGGTTTTGGATTTCTTTGAATAAATACCCACCCTATTTTTAATGTTTTGAGCGGTCTTCATACTGTTTTCCATCATGGCTGCACCAGTTTACAATACCACCAGCAGTCTGAGGCTCCCCCCTCTGCACATCCTCACCAACACTTCTTTCTTGTTGATTTATTGATGATAGCTATTTTGACAGGTGTAAGGTGATACCTCATTGTGGTTGGATTTTGCATTTCTCCAATGATTAGTGACAGCATCTTTTCATGTGTCTGTTGGCAATTTGTATGTCGGTTTTGGAGAAGTGTCTAGTCAGGTTTTTCTTTTTTAAGATTTTATTTATTTATTTTTAGAGAGGGAAGGGAGGGAAAAAGAGAGAAACATCAATGTGCAGTTGCTGGGGGCTGTGGCTCGCAACCCAGGCATGTGCCCTAACTGGGAATCGAACCTGCGACACTGGTTTGCAGCCCATGCTCAATCCACTGAGCTACGCCAGCCAGGGTGTATTCAGGTTTTTTAATTGGACTGTTTGTGTTTTGGTGTGAAGTTGTACGAGTTCCTTACATATTTTGGTTATGAACCCCTTATCAGATGTATAATTGGTGAATACCTTCTCCCATTCAGTAGGTTATCTTTTTTTGTTAACGGTTTTCTTTGCTGTACAGAAACTTTTTAGTTTGATATAGTCCCATTTGTTGTTTTTCTTCTGTTTCCCTTGCCAAAGGAGACATATCCAAAAAGATACTGCTGAGAGTGATGTCAGAGTTTACTGCCCACGCTTCCTTCTAGGAGTTTTATGGTTTCGGGTCTAAGTCTTTAATCCATCTTCAGTTTATTTTTGTATATGGTATAAATAAGTGGTCCAATTTAAATTTTTTTTGCATGTATCCTATTTTCCCCACACCACTTACTGGAACTATAAGCTTTTCCCCATATGGTATATCCTTTTCTCCTTTTTTTGTATATTGACTGTATAAGCAAGGATTTATTTCTAGGCTCTCTATTCCAATGATCTGTATATCTGTTTTTATGCCAGTGCCATACTGTTTGAGTAATGTAGCTTTATGGTATACTTTGATATCAAGGCATGTGGTACTCCCACTGTTTTTATCTCAAAATTTCTTTGGCTATTCAGGGTCTTTTGTGGTTCCATATAAATTATAAATTTTAAGATTAGCTGTTCTGAGAATGCCAATGGTATTTTGATAGGGGTTGCATTGAATCTGCAGATTGTTTTAGGTAATTTAAGGACATTTTAATGATGTTACGTCTTCCAATCCATGAGCACAGTATATGCTTCCATATATTTGTATCTTCCACTTTTTTCTTCAGTGTCTTATAGTTTTGAGAGTACACATCTTTCACTTCTTTGGTTAAATTTCTTCATAGATATGTTATGCTTTTTGATGTAATTATAAATGGGATTATCCTAATTTCTCTTTCTGATCATTAATTGCAACCAATTTCTGAATATTAGTTTTATATCCAGAATTTAATTTTCAGTTCTAATAGGTTTTTAGTGAAATCTTTAGGGATTTCTTTTCTGTGTCTATACACATCAAGGATATTAGCCTGTAATTTTGTTGTTTTTATTTTTGTAATGTGCGTGTCTGGTTTTGGTATAAGGGTAATGCTGGCTCTGTGGGACAAGTCTGGAAGAATTCCTTCCTCTTCGGTTTTTTAAAAAATAACTTAAAAAGCGTAAGTATTAATTCTTCTTTGATTGTTTGGTAGAATTCACCTGTGAAGCCATCTGGTTCTGGACTTTCATTTATTGGGAGTTTTATTACTGCTTCAACTTCACTTCGAGCAATCGGTCTGTTTAGATTTTGTAGTTTTCCTAGTTCAGTCTTAGCAGGTCATAAATTTATCTATTTCTTCTAGATTGTTACATTTGTTGGCATATAATTGTTCCACAGTAGTATTTAATGGCCCTTTGTACTTATGTGGTGGTGTAATTTTTCTTTCATTTATGATTTTATTTGGGCTTTTCTCCTTGAGTTTGGCTAAAGGTTTATCAATTGTATTTATCTTTCAAAGAACTAGCTGTTTTATTTTTTTCTATTGTTTTTAGTTCCTGTTTTATTTCTGCTCTGGTAACTATTTACATTGGGTTTCATTGGTTCTTTTTCTAGTTCTTTTTGGTGTCAAATTTTGAAAAGTTGCATTTGTTTCAAGGTAGTTTTTTTTATTTCGTGTTTGATTTCTTCTTTGATCCTCATTGGTTGTTCAGGAGCATGTTGTTTAGTTTCACACACTTGCAGTTTTTTTCCAGTTTTCTTCATGTAACTAATTTCTAGTTTCATGCCGCTATGCTTGGAAAAGATGCTTGATGTGACTTCAGTCTTCTTGAGTTTATTGGAACTTGTTTTGTGGCCTAGTATGTGATCCATTCTGGCGAATGTTCCATGTGCAAAAAAAAATGTGTATTCTGCAGTTTCCGGATGAAACATTCTGACAGGGCCTCTGCAGGTGGTGCTGAGCACCAGGCTTTCCCCCGACGAGCGGCAGCTGTCAGGGAGACCACCCAGACCTCGCCATCCTGCCCCAGAGCCCGGCGTGTCTGTTACTCATCAGTACAAAATTTCAGAGAGATTTTCCTTGAAGAACCCTTAAAACCTATTTAAGAACCTATTTTGGACCAGTGCAGTCTCTCCAAGTTATTTTCGCCAGTGACCTTTCAGGGTGTTCACAGTCTGTCTGAAGGGCCTCTACCAAATGTCCAGAATGCCCCCCTTGCCTGGGAACTCAGGCGCACAGGAAAAGCCACTTTTCAGGACGTACTGCTCAGCTGATCTCTTAAAGTGGTGTCACTGCAGCTCAGGCCAGTGCCGACCCACTGGGGGTTGTGGCCAGCGTTGAGGAGGTACAGCCCCCCCCCCCCCCCCCGCGACGAGCTGGGGCTCTTCCGTGTGCGCGGGGCAGGGCCTCGGAGGTGCGTGGCGGAGTAGTAGCCAGGGTGGTGGCGCACGCTGTCCCTTCGCCCTCCGTTCTCCTCCCCGCACCGCTCTTTCTGGTAAGGAGTGAACGCTAAGCCTTCCGCGTTCACGCACCAAAAGCCTCACACTGGGAACATGTACAAATTTTGCGGGAGTCCCTGGAGACAGGATGGAGTGTGACACGGACCTTGGGCTCCTCACCGTCAGCTCAGAGCCCTTGACGAATGAAAGGATTAATGCCACAATGGTAGGATGTTTTGTTTTTATTGAAACGAGTAAATCAGACAATTACAAGAATTTTACAAAAATTAACAGAGCCTGTGCGGGCCCCTCGTGGCTTCCCAGGTGACATCTGCACATCCATGTCCCACACTGTACGTGTTCCAGCACCTGTAGCAGGTGCTGGAGGACAAGCGCTGGCAGGTCCCCCCGCCCCGCTGTTCCTGGCCCTGCCCACGGGGGCAGCGGTTCTAGGGAAGCGCAGCGACCAGCCAGAGTGCAGGCGTGAGCCTCACCAGGTTAGGAGGACTGGTCGGCACGCTCAGACCTGACTCCCCCCAGCTGCAGGTCACCAGCTGGAGGGGAAAAAGAGCAGGAAACACAAATCTCATTCTAGAAACATATGCACACACAAACCTTGTATACTCGTTCAGTTGCATCCAAAAAGGCTTCTCTGGGTGGTTTTTTGGTGGCAAGGATTTGGAGGGAGTAGTCTCTGTCTTCTGATTAACATTCACATTAGGTAAAACCCGTTACTAAAAAGGAAAAGGGAGTAAAACTGCCTGTTTATCTTCATCTAGAGTGTTTGAGAGGGTGAATAAAACAACTGTTAGGTTCTGGCAGAGGAGCCGGGGTTCATTTTCATTCTGGCACATCTCATCCCGTAGCCTCTTAGCAATAAAAACCGTGATAAGCGCTGGCAGCGGGGCTCCAAGCAGCATCCCCTCCCCATCGGAGCCGGCCACCCGCTCTCCTTGGGCAAAGGAGTTTCAACGGAGCGTCGCCACCACCGGCCTCCTGCCGGCTTCAGCGGCACAGGGGCCGAGAGTCTGCACTGAGCAGCTACTGCTCGGCCCGCCTCTTGCAGTAGTTGCTGTAGGCCTCCTCGAACATGGCCTTACAGGCGAACTTGGCCTTCAGCTTGGAGCAGATGAGGAAGGAGCCCCCCATCTTCCTGTGCAGTGAGTAGGTCTCCTCGGGGGGCGGGATGAGCCGGTGCTTGAGCATGACGGGGATCAGGTTGTGGATCTTCTCGGTGGTGCTCTGGGTGCCGAAGTCGAAGGGCTCCTCGGAGGCGAAGGCCTCCCCCAGGATGAGGATGGCGTCCAGGTGGGCATCTTCCATGGCCTGGAGGGGGGGAGGAAGGCGGAGCGGGTCGGCCAGGTCAGTGAGGGTTTTGTGTTCAGCTGGACTGAATAATGGTTAACTGGAGCAAACACTCAAACCACCAGGGGCCAGGAAAGCGGCGTCAGGGTGTGCGCTGGGCTCCACGTGAGACCCAAGGGACCGTGCGCCCAGCCTGGAGGCTCTGAGACTCAATACAAAACCGAGTCTCAAGTGCTGGGGTGACGGACGCAGGACCACCTGCGTCTCCTCCCCAGCGTCAAGGAAAGGGCTGCTTCTGGGAGACAGGGACACTGCCCGCCGCCCTGCCGAGCCCTGAAGACTGTGTGACTGACGCAGATCTCCAATGGTGAGAGTAGGAAAAACGGGCTTCGCCACAAATCCCTTCTGTACCCAACTTGACGGCCCCTGAGCC